TTTAAGTAGTGTGATAAGGGAAGAACCTGGATAGGATATAGTGGGAGGGAAGTACAGCTTTTTGCAGCTTTTAAGTCCCTAGCCTTCCTTGAAAGTAGGAGAAGCAGCCTAGCTAACTAGAGAAGCAAGTTCTTCATCAGTCTCCCTCCTGGAAATAGGAGGAAGAAGAACTGCTAGGAAAATGAAGTAAGTGAATATTGGCTTATCTGGGGAGAATGTGGGGAGGAAGGAACGTGTTGGACTGTGAGTTAAAGCAAGCTGAGAAAGGAGTGTTGCCAAGTAAGTGAATATTGGCTTATCTGGGGAGAACGTGGGGAGGAAGGAATGTGTTTGACTGTGAGTTAAAGCAAGCTGTTTGAGAAAAGAGTGTTGCACACAAGGTGAAGTGGTGGGAGAGAACAGCAGTACAGAGGGCTGAATGTGGCTGTAGTGAACCTTTCCTGGGAAAGAAGGCTCTGATGGGGTTTGGAGGGAGATGCAGGTGTACATGTACTAAATATGTCTTCTAAAAGAGATTCTGAGGAGGCAGGGGAGACAGCTTGCTGGGCAGTTTATCCTCAACAATGTTCCAGGCTAGAAGCAGCACTTGGGAAACGTTATTCCAGCAGAAACCTTGAATAATCCACTGTGTGGCTTATAAACTACACCAAGTAAGGTGTATGTCTGCTATGGCTTGTGGCCTGCTGCTTGTAAGGGTGGAGACTGCTCAGGTGGTTTATTGTGTTGGTTCGCAGTCTGAAGGAGCATAAGGACTTCTTGTTCTGATGTAAGCTTGTATTTTTGAAGACAAAGATGTTCTCTGTTACTGACTTACCATTTTGAGATCCTTCTACCCAAGTAAATGTGATTGCTCCTTCTCTGCTGCTTTCACTGAATCTTAGTAAAAATGTTCCTGGACTCTGGTCTTTCAATAAAGCACGTTCTTTCTCCTTACTGATGAAACCCATGATGCAGCTGTAATGTTGAAAAGAAAAAGCTGAGTTTACTCCTCAATATAAAATCTAAGCTGTGCTGGGCTAGCTTAGGAAAACTAAAAAGCTAAAGTACTTGTAAGAGCCTCACAGAAGGCTTTGTCCTGTGAACAGCTGGGAAGTTAGCAGTAGG